GCTTTGAGGTAACCTTTTTCTCTTGATCAGACTCATCATGATCCCCCTGTTTACAGCCTCCCAAGAGCTGGGATTACAGGCGCGTGCCACCACCCAGTCTCAATTGTCGGCTCAGCACGCCCTGGGGGTGGGGCCTGCAAGGCAGACCTGGGGATTGAATCCCAGCCCCTGCACGTGCTTGTAGGCGCTTTAATCTGCTGAGCTATTTGGCTGGCCTAACTGTTATAACTTCTTAAGAACTTTTTTTAGGCAAATGAAGATATGCCTTTCATAGACAACAGATACAAAATTAGGATCCAAAATAAGAATTTCGTTCTGATTTTCTTTTGAAAAAACATTCAGGATAAATACTGATACTGATTTTTTTTTTTTGTCAAATTAAAAAATATTTATACTGACTTTTATACCACCAAAAGACATTTACAGTGAGCCTGTAGTTTTTGCTTTTCCCACTGTCTCGAACATGCTCTGGTGTGTGCCGGTGTTCCCTAAGCTCTTAGCTGAGCAGTGTGGGGTGTTAGTGCCAGTGTTCCCTCTTCATGGCCCTTGGTACTTTGCTTCAAAGAAATCCCTTGCCAGAAGAAAAATACACTTTCTACACTTTTTTTTGCCCTTCTTGGCAGCCTTAATTTACCAGTTCTTTATTTGAATATTTTCCCTTGCTTCTTTGGGGACTTGTTCAATTCTCTAAAGTTGAAAGTGAGGGCACCCATGGCTTATGCCCTTTCCAGGAAATGTTTTGCTTCTAAATATTTTCTGAACTCCACCCTTTCCAATTATTCCTGTTGCTACAATCCAGGTGACACGCTCAGCCCCTTGTCTGGTACAGTTCACCTCTAGTCTCTCTTCCCCTCCATCCTCCTGTCATGGCTGGACTCTTCCCTCCCTGTCCTGTCATATTCTCCTATCAAATCTGCACCTTTCGGTCTCCCAAGAGAAGTCCTTACCGCTGGTCATCTGAGTACGACATGTTTTGCCTTCTCTACGGCTGGAACTTCCTTCTTCTCCTTGCTAACCCTCATCCCTTGGCATCTCAAGTCATGCCATTTCCAGAAGTCCAGGGTCTTCTCCTTTCACTGTCCTTTAACAGCATGATTTACTCGCTAAGGAACCATCAATGATGAACTACGAGGTGTCAGTCTTGCTGGAGGGACAATTGGGAGTAAGGCATTCTGATCTTTCTTCTTGTCTTCTTTTTTCTGTTACAATGAGATCTCATTACTTTGCCCAGAGTGGCATGGAACCCTTGTGGCTCCTACCTCAGCTTCCTAAGTACCTGGGACTACAGGTGTGCAAACCAAGTCTGACTTCATCTTTGTTCTTTAATAAACTTTGTATGCTCTAATGGAGCAGTGTCTACTTGCTTCTCCTGTATATATATGAACAGACCCCCCATTGGCTTGGAGCCTTCTAGTACCAGGGACCATCACTGCAGTACCTCTCTAGTACTCATCAGAGTGGGGCAGGCAGAGTAAGCTGTCGCTGACTGGATAACCTCACGTTTACCAGGTGTATATGAGCCACATAATTACATTTATATTTTCTGTAGAATTCTATTTTTTTGAAACTGCCTCCATATCACTAAAAAACCTCCTTGTCAACTCAGAAGCCCTCACATGCAGATTCCTTCTTTCATAGTTTGGGTTTCACCTTTGTGACTTTTAAGAGAATTTTTTTTTAAATACATAGTTTTTATTCCTTCCAGCAGTTGGAACTCTAATATAGAAACATCAGTTCTTAGTGGAAAGAATGCCAAAAGAAAGGAGTGATACAAACCTCTGTAATTTCTTTCTTTTTCTTCTTTCTTTCTTTCTTTCTTTCTTTCTTTCTTTCTTTCTTTTTTTTTTGTGGGGGGAAAGGTCTACAGGGTGTTCAGGGTCTCACTACTAGATCAGACCCATAGTGATTCTCCTGTTTACAGCCTCCAAAGTGCTGGGATTACAGGCACGTGCCACCATGCCCAATTTCAATTGCCATCTCAGAGCGCCTCAGGGGCAGGGCCAGGCATGACAGGCCTGGGGATTGAGCCCCTAGCCCCTGTGCCTGCTTGCAGGAGCTTTAATCTGCTGAGTTATTTGGCCAGCCCTTGTAATTTCTGTAAAAATTTTAATTCTTGAAGATTATAGTAATAGCATGAAAAGAAATAAATCATAAAGAAAAGCTATCACCCAATAAGAAACATTTAGTTATGAAATAATTAGGAAAAAATAAAAATAGATGTAAACACCCTGTCTCAAGGCAGAATTAGAATTATCAAGAGACTTCAGTGCTGGGAAAATGACAAACCAATCTTACTCTTGGAGGAGACCTTTCTCTGCCAAAACTTTTAATAAAAAAAGTATCAGTATTGCCTAAAATTTGCCAAGTGTGATTTCACTGTTAACTGATACTTTCCCGTCTCCAGCAGCTCTGAGCCTGCATGGCCACTCAGGAATGCTGTGCTGAGCCTCAGCTCACCACGACTCCCACTCCCATGAGGCTCCTAGGAGAGAGCCGCCCAGCGCCTTCCACCAGGAGTCACTAGACTAAGGAGCAGCCCCTTTTATCTGACCAGAGGCTGTTAGCCTGGGACCAGTGCATCCCCCTGAAAAAGACAGTGAGAGGGATTCAGGAGATCCATGGGTTTCTATGGGAGGAACAATCCTCTTTATTTTCACTAAGCTCTAACTGAAATGTAAGCAAAAATCAGAGCAGTATTAGCAGCCCATGAGACTTTTTCACCTGTACAAACCACTAATATATTCTAATATACATAACAATATTATAATTGTTATGTATATTTTGAAATATTGTTCATAACAATTATTAAATGTCACTAGTAACTACAGAGTTATTAAGGAACTTGTTATTAATGTTAATAAAGAAACATATACAGTATAATAGTCTATCAATTAGGTTTTGAATTTTTAATACATACTTCAATATAATTGGTTGCCTTTATAATCTTATATATTTTGTTTCATGCATTTAAAAACATGCTGAGAAAGGGTCTTTGACCTTACCAGCCTGACAAAGATGTCTGTGACACAAACGATAAGGACCCTTGTTCAAGTCTCATCCTTGGGGGTTTGTTAACTGATCACGTGGATTGAAAGAAATGGAATGATAGTCTTGGCCAGGAGCAGACTGTCGTGAACTCCCTCAAACTCTCAGAATCATTTATATGCACTTCTCTCGTGAGATGGGTCTCCCTCCCACTAACTGAAAGAAGATAGTGCAAACTCCTTAAAAGCAATTTAGTATGTCTTGTTATTTGGAGTAGTACTAGCAATAATAGCAATAAATATATATTTTTTAAAGTGCATATATTCTTAAAGCTTCTACCATGTCCTTGGATATTTTAATTTTAAAATTACCCTCAAGATAACACTAGTGCATCTGTGTTCTCAGTGAATTGTCACTCCTTTAAAGGGAAAGAGATTACACCCACCTCACCAATGAGGAAAGTGAGAGTCAGAAAAGCTGGAGGCCCACAGTGGGTCAGCGAAAAAAAAAAAAAAAAAAAAAAAAAAAGACATGGTTTCCATTTAGCAGAAGCAGAAACAATCTGAGAGGTCAAGGAAGTTGCTGTAAGTGTCTGAGGTGGGATTTGAACAGAGTTCAGTCAGATTCCAAAACCTTCTCTATTTTCTGCTGGTGCCCGCTGCCTACCTCACCAGTCTTTGCTTCACGTGAGAGAGCTGAGTGATTGCTACAATGACACTCTAGGCGCCTACCTTTCTTGGGAAAGCTGTTGGTTCCTCAGTTTCCAACACGGGCTGTTCTCAAGGGAGAGAAAGAGCAGCATCTCAAAGCCTCCAGCCCTGCTCTCGTGCCCGCCTTTGGGGCTTGAGCGTTCTCTTCCTGTGGGGCTCTGCCCACTCCCATACGGGTCCTGTGGCTCCCCCAGAGGCCACCTGTGCTCTCAATCAGATGCTTTGCTGGGAATGGGAACCATTAGATCATACACATGTGCTTCTCAAATTTTATAACCAAAACTGATTAATGGTTGGCGCTTAAAATCTTATTTCCCACGTATGTGAAAGCAGACAGATTAGTTATTCATAGAAGGGTAAAGAGGCATTTTCCTCACTGTTCCTTCTTGCTTTCTCATTCACTGTTAAACTATTGCAGATCACAAACCAAGAGCATGTTGTTAAATCCATTGTAAGAGCAGGCAGCAGTGGGAGTTCTTGCACTTTAAAAAACACCAGGCGAGGAGGGCTGGAAGCTGGTCCAGAGGGTCCTGGAAGTGAGAGTCCTTGCATAGACTCATCCTAATGGCCACCTCTTGTGGGAAAGCACTCCTGTGGTCATGGTGGTAGTGCCCTACTCCCTGTGTCCCAACTCCAGGAGGGCTGACAGCTCCGATTCAGCTCCTATTCTCATCGGTGTCCACTCATTTACAGACTATTTTTACCCCATGCTTAAGCTCTATTTGTCTTTTTAAAAATTATTATAATGTAACTGTCACTTATAAGATCATGACTAAGTTCATGTTTTTCAAACTATTTCTTATCATGCCCACTTAAAGAGATGGTGATATTCAATTTTGCTTTCTTTCTGCCCTAAATCCTTACTCTCATGGAACAGTTAATCTTCATTTAAATGTTTACAGAAGATCCATTCTTCTAGAAAGCTTTCAGATTATTTTGGGAACTCAAAAGATAAACCCTAAGAACAATAAACTAACTTCAATTTCCAAAAACAAAGTAACTTGCAAAAATATGCATATGGCAACCCCCACCCTTCCAAAAAAACTTTATTGCGATCAACTCTTAAAAATCTAGCCAAAAATTCCTTCTTTCCTCTTGAAATGCAATTATACATTATCTGGTTGGTTACTGAAATCTCTCATTAGCAGAGCTGGAGTTAACAATAAAGTTAAACTGCTGAACATCTGCAAGGAGAAAAGATTAGTGCACAACGTTTGCTCTCTTTGTTACAGTGGTTTAGAAAGATGTGAGAGAACAACTGAAGTGAGCCACGTTCCCGACTCTCTTCTTGCCCTGTCTTTGCAGGCACTTCCACAACTTACAGAATCTTAGCTTGGCTTACTGCCGAAAGTTCACAGACAAAGGTTTACAGTACCTGAACCTGGGGGACGGATGCCACAAGCTCATCTACCTGGACCTTTCCGGCTGCATCCAGGTTTGCCCTTCAGTAGCCCCTTCCCTGCAGCGGGCGAGCACGTCCTGCAGCGGCCGGGCTGCACGCAGCCCTCATGGTCCACAAATGCTGTGCACGACCGACTGCCCGCCCCGCAGCAGCACACTTTGCAGAGGTTTTAAGTTACACAGCCACGGCTGCTTTGGCTCTCCCCAGGGTTACTACTATAGGCTCTTGGCTTCCCTCCATCGGGTGTCACATCCATGAGCAGCCAGAGCTCATTGGAGGACAAAACGCTCCTCTCAGAGCACAGTTCTGAGACCAGAATCCAATTCTTGAAAACTTTACAGTTGTTACTAAGATACAGACAAAGGAGGAGAAGGATTCCTGAAAAATCAATTTGCTTTCTTATGAAAAAAAAAATGCTCAACTGATAAAAGTAAGAAAGAAAATATGCATAATAAGGATTTTAGTTTTTAAAACTGCAGTGTTCTTAGGTTAAAAACCATGGGGATTTGCAACCTATGTGGGGAAATATTTTAAGCTGGAGGAACTAGGAGCAGGAAAATTGGGCAGAAAGCAGGGTAAAGTTGTGGCAGATAGGCATGGTTCATTGGAAGTAGTCTCTGATAGCTTTAATCTGCTGAGCTATAGGGCCAGCCCTTCTTTTCTAATTTTGATAGATCCAGGTCATAATTCTTTTAACTTATTCTCTTCCATCTCTTTGTGTATCTTACTGATATCAATGTTACAGTATATTCCTTATTTAAAAGAACAATGTAGGGGCCAGGGAGATGGCTCGGTGGAATAAGTGCTTCCCTGGCAAGTGCAAGGGCCTGAGTTCAATCCCTGGTTCAGCCAAAAAAAAAAAAAAAAAAAAAACCAACAACAACAAAAACCCAATGTAATAGCACAGGCGAGAGCTTATTGAATTCTTAGCCCTGATCGAGTCATTACTACATGCCATGCACTGGGCTGAGCGCACTGCGCAGGTCGGTTATGATGAGCATAGTATGTGCTTCTGATGCCCACATGCAAGTGGATAAATTTCTCAAGGTTACACAGCTGGTGGCAGCGCATGATATTGGTACATTGACCAACACCTCTTGGTGACTATCAAAGCAGGCAGGTGCCCCAGGAGGCTGACGAACACGAGGGCAGTATGAAGTTCTCCTCTGAGTATTTGAATTCTTACCTCTTGTTGCTTGTCGCCCTTCCAGGCCATGTTCCCAGTGACCCACCTCTTCCAACCACCTCAACCTTCTTTTTTTTTTATGTGTTTGGTACAGGGTCTCACTATGCAGCTCAGACTCGTGGTGATCCTCCTGCTTTCAGCCTTCCCAATGCTGGGATTACATATGTGCAACACCACACCTGACTCAGTGGCCAGCTCAGTGTACCTGGGGATGGGGACAGCACTGTGTGTGGTGCTGCAGATCGAACCCCAGTCCCTGTGCTTGCATAAGCAGGTGCTTAGTCTGCTGAGCTATCTCGCTGGCCCTCCCCCTTGACCCCATGGTCTAACTCCAGCCAGCTGTCAGCACCTGTAACCCAGGCACCTTCTAAAGGCCCTGCCTGTGAGTATATGTGGGCTTGGGGGACATGTTTATAAACCACAGCATCACCCTGCTGCCAGAGCAAGGCTTCCTGCAGCCCAGGGTGCAGGGGAAGGGGGAACACTCTAAGCCAGGATTGAAAATGCTTAGTGCTTCACGCTTAGTCTTTCAAACTAGGTTACTGATGTGCAGCTTGCTAAATATTAACATCTAAGGTTTTACAACAGCCTCAAAATTCCCCTCAGCTTGGCTGAACTTTAGGCAGACTTCTTCCCCACCAGGCCCCTGGTCTGCCTTTTCTTACAACATTTGCTTTAGAAAACTTGGAATTATGCATTCTTTTCCTGCCTCCAGGAGATGTCAATCTTTTTTAGAAGGCTTTTAGCTGGTTTTAAAGCCTAGGACCTCAAGGATCTGGGAACTGTTCCTTTCATGTGCAAACATCAAAGAAGATGGCTCTATATCTCCCAGCTTCTGTGTTCAGGGAGAAATTAATATGCTAAATGTACAAATCCCATTGAGCAACTTTTCTACTAATTCACTGGAGTGCTTAACAACTCTCCCAAAGTATGATTTGCATTCTTGTTTTCTTGATTCCAAGAGGTAATTATTGTAGCAATACACACACACACACACACACACACACACACACACACACACACACACACAGTATTAGCTTTCCATTGCTGTGACAAAATGTCCCCAAAAAATCAAGTTTAAGGAAGAAAGAACAGCTGGGTGTGGTAGCACAAACCTGCAATCCCAGCACTATAAGAGGCTGAGATGGGAGGATTGCACATTTGAGCCCAGCCTGGGCAGTTCAGTGACTTAGCAAGACCCTGTTGCACAAACAGGGAGATAGCTCAGCGGCTTACACAGCTGCCCTGCCTGGCAAGCGCAAGGGCTTGATGTCAATCCCTGGTATAAAAAAAAACCCAGACCCTGTGGCAAGGGCAAGGGGGGCTCACTCCCCAGTACTAGAAGGAAGTTTGCAGTTTCAGAGGCGTCAGTCTAGTCACCTGGCTTTGTTATTTCTGGATCTGTGGTGAAGCAGCACGTTGTGGCAGGGGGTGGGTGGTGGGGAAAAGTGCTCAGCTCGTGGCAGCCAGGAAGCAGAGCCAGAAAAGGCGTGGGGAGAGTGGCAACCTCTTCAAGGGGGCCCTGGGACCTAGTCCTACCAGGCAGCCTTGCCTCCTAAAGTCAGTCTCTCTCTCTCTCTCTCTCTCTCTCTCTCTCTCTCTCTCTCTCATCCTTAGAATATTTTTCAGACACATTAAAATCTAAATCAGGCTTTTGGCACCTTATCTGAGGAAGAACCAAGGAGTACTCAACACCCACCAGGAGCTACTCTCCACATGTCCGTCATTCCACCACCTCACACCAGCACTTATTGTGGGAGGTTCACAGAGGTCCCTCTTTTTTTTTTTTTTTTTTTTTGTGGAACTGGGGATTGAATTCAGGCCCTTGCACTTGCCAGGGAAGTGCTTATTCCACTGAGCCATCTTCCCGGCCCCCCTCATATTTTTTTTAAAGAGAAAAAAAATAAGTTTCAAAACAGGTTATTATGACCCATTCCCCTGCCTATTATACAAACCTTAGCAGGATGGGAGCGAACCCATGGAGTTCCTCAGGCTAAGGCAATAGGGTAAGATAGTTATTATGTGAAAGATGGAGGTCTCATGAAGGAGAATGGCATGATATTTAGGGTTCAACAGAGGTTAGAAAACATATATAGTGGCACAAATACCATTGCAAGAATTTTTTTTTTTTT